ATGGCACCTGGATCCCCAGAGTACCCCCAGGTGAGGGGTCAGAGGTGGGGCCCCAGAGGACCTGCTGAGCTCCCCAGGTGCTCTGAGCTGCAAACAAAGGCTTGGTTGTGCCTGTTCTTGTGGACGGGACCTGAATGCTGTCTGCCCCTCCCTTGCCATCTCTCCCAGGGGGTTGGTTTGAAGAAAGTGGAAGAATCTCCCAGGGGTTTTAGATATAGTCTCCTTTGTTTTAATTAAAAAAAAAAAAAAAAAAAACCTCGGAAAACAAAACCAAACCCCAACAGACATTCACTGAGCAAACACTGAGTACTATGCTAAACACTCCATGGGCTGTAAAAGCCAGAAGGTGCAAAGCTTGCTTGACCTCCCCCTGTGCTTTCCCTCCTGCCCATTTTGAAGTACAGAGAACACAGGAGGGACTCAGTGGCTGCCAGCTGATTTACTGAAATGAGCAGAGCTGAATGTTAGCCTCTTCCAGCAAAGATCTGAGTGATTCCTCCTTGTCTCCGACCAGAGCCTGTACTTCTCCGACTGTGAGAATTTGGCCCTGGCCTATCTCTCCATTTTCCTCTCCTCCTCTAGCCCAGGTGGCAGGCCCATTAATTACCATCTGCTGAAAGTGCCAGCAACTATGCCTTTGGCTTGCGGGGAGTGACGTGTGATAGTAGCTGCTGCTAGGATGGTGGATTTGCTAAGCCTCACAGACCCAGAAAGTCCTTCTATACCCAGCTCAAGTGTCATTTCTAGGAGCCTCCCTTTCTGTACATTCCCACCTCCAGTGAAGGCTAAGGTTCTCCCTTCTATATTCCCATAATAATGAAGAACACTTACAGACACCTTAATACGTGCCAGAAACTTCTAAGCTCTTTACGTGTTAGCTACTTTAATCCTCACAATAGTCCTTAGAGGCTACAGTATTGTTAGCCATTTTACAATGAAAATAACCAAAGCACCGATGATCACGCAGCTTTCCAAGGGTCTCGTGGCTGGTAGGTGTCAGGACCTTACTGAAACTCAGGAGGTGTAATTCTACCCGCTTCAAACACAAGGCTGCTTGGCTTCTCAATACCTTACATGGGGTCAGCTGCGTGCTCCTGATTGCCTTGCTGGAGCGTGTTTCTAGAGTATGAGCCCTCGAGGGCCCAGCTGTTTCTTTGTCACGTCCCATCAAAACTATTTTATGAGTAGTTCAGTGCTCAGCAACCACGTCTGAGATATGCTGTGTGTAGCTTCCTGCTTTGATCTGCTGGAGTGGCCTGGTGCTTCTAAAGCCTGAATAGTTCCCATCTGGTCCAATAGCAGGGGTGGTGCTCGTGTAAGAGGTAATCTCTGCTTAGTTTAGAGCTCAAGGGCAGAGACAGCTGCTATGGGATCCCTGGCAATCAAGTGGCTCACCTGCCTTTCAGGCACTGCTCAGTCTGGGGCTGCTCTGTGGATTGTGTGCCTGAGTTTCAGGAAGCTCTGGTGATCGGCCTCATAAATGCTCGGAGATAAGCCCTGCTGGCTGAGCTCACCCAGGGACTTTCCCCGAGCCGCTGCTGCAGGGACCCAGCAGAGGGCTGGCTCTGCTGGGACAGCCCAGGGGGTACAGCCAGAGCTGTTTTCCTCGGTGTTTCTGTAGGAGTTCAGAGTTCTCTCTAGACCTCCAGACTGTTCTGTCTGCTGCTCCTCAAGCTGTCCTGTGGATATAGGAAGGATTCTCAGACATTCTCTTTCAGTCTTTGTTATTTCTCTAACTAGACTGATATTAATTTTATTTTTTTATTTTTATTTTATTTATTTATTATTTTTGTTTTGTTTTCCTCCGGTACCGGGTCGACTGATATTAATTTTAAAAGCAATTATTACAAATACCAGAGAAATAATATTTCTCAGAGATAAACAGCATCCATGGTTGGGTTTCCTTAAGGATATTTTTTTCTTCAAGTCTACACAAATTATTAGGGTGTATTTGAAAAAAGTGAGGTTGTTTTTATCATTCTGTTCCGCAGCTTCCTTCTTTGCCTGTGGCGGTGTCTTGGCCACCTTGTTTGGGAGGGGTGCGTGTGAGCTTCTTCCAGCTGGGTTTAAGTTGCTGATACACAGTTGTGGCTGTGGGTCAGCATTTAGGAGCGAATGACCGTGCCCTTTCATGTTCCCATCAAAGCACCTCTGTGGGCAGAGTGAGCTGGGGAGAAGGGGCGGAGGCTGGAGCACCTGCATACCTGCACACCTGCCACATAGCCTTGAAGTCCAAAGCTCCCTTTATGTTATGCATTGTGCTGACCTTTGGGCTGTGTCTACCCTGGGGTGCACACAGCTCAGGGTGAGAGCACTGTGTAGGGAGAGATGAGGAAAGCCAATATTCGGGACCTGCAGGGGAAGAGTGGGCTCAGTAAGAGCTAGGAGCCGTCTCACTTCTTGGTGGCTTGACTCCTGTGGTCCCCTGTCCGAAAATTATGGTCCTTAGGAATTACTGAATGGGCGATCAGCCGATCAAAAGGTCCCTAGGGATCACTTGGCTAGAGTAATCAGCCAGTCAGAGGGCGTTGGGGGGGTCGCGTGGCTAAGGCCATCAGCCAGTCCAAAGGCATCACTTACAGACCTACTGTCCTAGATCCATTGACTAAATTGTCCATTTTCTTGGGAAGCAAGGCCCTCAAGTCAAATACATCAGCTTCATTTTGGAGCATGTAAGATGATAGGGAAAGGATAATATCTAGACGATAATAAAAATATCTCACATTCATAGAGGCTGAGTGTGTGCTAGACACCCATTCCTGGGTATGATTCTGGCAGGCTGGGTGCCTGTCTGTCAGGGACATGGTGCGGGAGGGTGTAGGTACCCTTCATGGCTGGGCGGTGGGGCCGCTCGAGGCTGCCTGTCAGTCAGTATGGATCTGTGTCCCCGCTGTCCAGGTTGGGCTGGACTACAAGGGAAGGAGAGTTACTTTGCTAGGGATACCGTAAAAAGTGCCACACACTTGGTGGCTACAACAATACATTTCTCATCTGGCAGTTCTGGAGGCCGGCAGTCCAAATCCGAGGCGTCGGCAGCCTTGGTCCCTTCGGAGGGCTGTGAGGACGTGGCCCGTTCGGGCTGCTCTTGGCTTGTAGATGGCCGGCTGCATGTTCACGAGGTTGTCTCCCCGCCATCCTCTGTGTCCTGGTCTCCCACTTTCTTCATGACACCAGGCATTTGGTCTTAGGGCCACCTCTGCGCCCTCGTTTTTACCTGATCACCTCTGAAAGATCCTATGTGTACATAAGGTCGCATTACGAGAAACGAGGGTTGGAGCACAGCACATGAGTTGTAGGGGTGCACAGTCCGACCCTTACAGGTGGCGGTGGTGTTCCTGCGGGTCAAGCCCCTGTGGCAGTGATGGTGAACCTTTCAGAGCTTTCAGTGGTGACACGTGCCATCGGCTTGCCACCACCACCCTTGGCATTTCACTGAGTGATGAATACCAGGGTTCAGGCGCAGGCCATGGAGACTGCCCGGGTCTGTGTCTCAGTGCTGCTGTTTCCTCGTCATGGGCCCCTCAGAGAATCAGCGTCCTCCGTGGCAAAGCAGGACTGGCAAGAGCACTTCCTGCTCGGAGCCCCGGTGGGGATGAGATGAGGGTAAAGTGCTCGGAAGACGCCTGGCATATAGCGAGTGCTGGGTGCACAGTTAGCAGCTGTTGTACCTGCCCTTCGTACTGCAGGTGGGAGTCTATTTTCTGCCCTACTGGGCAGGAAAATCATTAGGTGCAGAGCCCCCTTTTGTTGATAGGATACTGGTAAATCACACAAGTTATAGCATCTGTCACTGCTTCCGCATTTTAAGGGAAGTTGCACGTTTAGACTGCTGTGCGTGTGCGCTGTACTGGGGATTGAACCCAGGGCCTTGTGAGCTCCAGGAAAGCACTCTACGTTGAGCTGCATCCCATGCCCTAGACTTTTAAAAACCTCTTAAGGTCCCTTATTCCAGTATTTCGGTGAACTCTCTTGACAGCCCGTAATGAACTGGGGAGAGAACCTGAGAAAAGATTACCAACAAATAACTAACCGTGTGGGACAGTCAGCGAAGACGTCAGATGCTTCATCAGTTTATAACTCACGTTCTTCGTCGTCTGCACCTTTTCAGCTGTCTTACTTCTATCTGTATTCAGAAGACATAGGTAGCTTTGATTTTGGTTTTTGCCTTTCTTTTTAGATTGTAAAATACTCAAAACAACATTTTCGAGTGTCCCTGCCGAGCGGCGTTCTGTGCCTGTCCAGTGTTCACAGAGCCGCACCTGCCGGCCGCACAGTCCTACCTCTCCCGCTGACTCCTGCCCGCCCGCCATGCAGCTTTCAGTCCATAGCTTGGACCCCGCGAGCTGCCTCAGCCAGGCGGGATCATAAGTATTGTCGTCGTGCGTCTAGTGTGTGGACGCGTGTATCAGAATCTGTTTTTTAGCTAAGGTTGAACACTCCCGTACTGTGTGTACATATATGCTGGCTTTGGCCATCCATCCGTCCATCCCGCCATGATGGCTGGAGCAGCTTCTGCCTTTTGGATGTTGTGAGTGGTGCTGCTGTGAACGTGCATTGGAAAGAGCTGCGATTAAACACCACACGTCGTCACAGAAGAGTTAAATGTAGAGCCCGAGGGAAGGCACCCTCCTACCCCAGGCGCCTGAAACCTTGTGCCTTGGAGAGAGTCGCTGTGTATGCTTTGGCTTCTGTCCCGCTCACTAGCTGTGCTTGGCCGGCACCTGTGAAATGAGATGATTCTGTCCATGCTGCTGGAGATACCGAGCCGTGTGAAAATGCTTGGAGTCTCTGAAGTCACCCAGTGCTTTCTTTGTTTGGAGCAGCAGGTCGGCGGTGCCTATGCCGGGCCAGGCAAAGGTGGTCTCAGGTCTCACCCTCCTGGCCACCTGTGTGACGGGTACACTGGCCCCACTGCCCAGGGCGGGGACCGCCTGTGAGGGGCCCAGGGCACCTGCTTCTTCGCTGCTCCCTGATTGGCCTCTCCTCTCCTCCTCCTTTAGGCAAATGTCTGCAGACTGCGGCTCACCGTGCCTCCTGAGAGCCCAGCCCCCGAGCAAATGGAGAAGATTGCGAGGAGTGAGCAGGTGAGGCCATTCTCAGAGAGGACGTGCCCACTCTGACCCGCGCCCTGTGTCCCTCACAGGCCACTCAGAGGAGCAGCACTCCTGACCTTTGCCCCTGTCCCCAGAGGTCAAGCCCTTGCCACTGCTGGGTCCGCTGAGCTCAGGCCCCTGCTCTGTCCCCTGTGAACACCGGCTCGGTGCTGCCTCGGGGGCGCTGGCCTTGGTGACCGGGGCTGTGGCTGAGCAGCCTGGCGTGGCCCAGCCAAGGGCTTTCTGTGAGGTCTCTCAGGGCTGGATGTGGCGGCTAGAAGCCCAGCCAGGCAGTAAGGCGACCCTGGTGTGTGTGAAGGACACTTTCTTGGCTAGAGATAGGAGCTCAGCAAACAAAGGTGTGTGCCAGCTCTGTGCCGATGCCCAGGCCGTGGGGACAAGAGTGACCTTGTCCTTGCTGTGGAAGGACTTGCCACTTTCCAGGTGAGCTGGGCGGCGACGCTACGCCCCTGTTCAGGCCCAGCAGCGTGAGAGGGCTCTGGGAACACAGCGGAGGGGTCAGGGGATGGCCGGGAAGGTGCCACTGAACAGCAGAGGGCACCTACTGAATTCCAGGCTCCGAGAGGACGGGAGGGGCCTGAGCGGTGGACTTAAGCCTACCCGCCATCCTTAGAACAGATACGCAAGCAGGGCAAGAAAGGACGTGAACAAATCACTGCACACATTTTGCAGAGTTTGAGCAGCAGTGAGGGCTAAGGGGGACACACAGGTGAGAGAAGGGGGCAGGGTCGCAGGGACTGGGTAGCGCTTTTCCTGTGCATATGTTCATATGAATCTAAAATAATGAAGCGACACATGAAGTTCATAAGTAGGTGCGGTAGTGAGTTCTTCCTCCACCAGTGGCAGAGGAAGCTCCCACCAGCGGGTCAGTGGGTGACCGTGTCCCCAGCACACCACGGTCTCTGTCCTCCTTGTCCCACCCTGCCCTTCTCCTGCCCGCTTCACCAAAGAGCCAGGGGGTCTCTTGCGGTGGTGAATGCCAGAGGGTGAGAGTGGGGGAAAGAAGGCGAGATCGTGACCACAGAAGCGTGAGAGGAGGCCTGCTTGCGAGACTGCTTAAAAGGAGAGGATGCAGCCTGCTGACGGAACCTGCAGGACGTTGGTTCTGGACAGCAGTAGGGAGAAAGCGGCTGGACCAGGGATGCCTTGCGTCAGAGACAGACGAGGTCAGGAGCGGGGTTGAAAGAGCTCCGTCTGATCAGCTCGGGAAAAACAGGAACATCCAAAAGAATTATGAATGAGACCCGGGTGTGGTGGCGCATTCCTATAATCCCAGCAGTCAGGAGGCTGAGGCAGGAGGAGCAACCACAAGTTCAAAGCCAGCCTAAACTATATTAACAAGACTCTGTCTCAATACCCGTCCCTCGCCCCCAAGAAAGAACAATGACAGTGTAGGCTGAACAGCTCTAACCGGAAAATCCTAAATCCAAAATGCTCCAAAATCCAAGACTTTTTGAACATCAACATGGCACTCAAAATGCTTTAGATTTGGGGGCGTTTTGGATTTTGAATTTTGGGTTAGGGGTGCTCAACTAGTAAAGCCTGTGCAAAAAGTACAGAATACTCCCAAATCTGAAACACTTCCGGCCCCAAACACTTCAGATAAGGGATGCATAGCTTTTAATGGGTTATGATACGCTGGATAATAATAATAAATAATGATAATAATAAAATCAACAGAGTGATACTCAGAGAGGGAAGGGGAGGGGGAAAGCAAAGGTTTTCCGTGGAACCCTAGCTCATTAACCTGGAAAATCTGTACCCTAAAACCCCGGACAGGCACCTTCTTGGGTGCAGAAGCTGGGTGGTGGTGGTGGCCTGGGATACTCACGCGATTCCAAGCATCAACAGGTGCCACTCTGATTCGCAGGGGATGTTGACCTCCCGGAGGAGCAGCCTGGCAGGTGACCCTGCAACCAGGTGACGTAGCCTGGTGTCAGTGACAGGCACAGCCTGCTGTCACCTCCCTCCAAGGTGACTGCGCATAAGCACACACCGTCGCCTGGTACTGACCCAGATGAATTAACAGCAAAACAGAGGAATCCCAAATGTGGGACATTCTACCAAAGCTAGCCGGAACCCCTCCATGTTACATGAGAAAAGATGACAGTCAGTTACAGAAAAGAGACACTGGGCAGACATAACGTGAAACGTAGTGAATGCACCTTGGGCAGGTCTCAGGTCAAAAAGATTTATAATAAAAAGCACATTGCAATAATTATACAATTTTGAGTATGAACCACATAGCAGTTATTATTGAATAAATATTCATTTTCTTCCTAATGGGTATGTTACCATGGCAATATAATCAAACTATTCATTCAGCTTCTCTGTGGCATTGAACACTCACCAAAGAAAATCTTTGGGGGTAAAAGCTCATAACCACAGAGGAATAGGAGTGGGAGGCTTCGCTGCTGGCCCTGTGAGGGGGACAGCCCTCTGCCCTCAGCACGCCCCTCCCTGTCTGTCCCTTTCGTGTGGGTAGCTTTTGGCACATGGGCTGCTCACAGTAAATCATCTTGGAGGGAGAAGCCCAGGTTGATGTGTGTGACAGGACAAGGACCTTGAGGGCTGTCCTGACCCTGGGCTGGCAGAGGACCCAGCAGGGCCATCACCCCTTGAGCCGTGAAGCAGTAGAAAAGAAAGAGGCCAGGGCCGGGTGTAGTGGTGCACGCCTATAATCCTAGCTCTCGGGAGGCTGGGGCAGGAGGATCGCTGTGAGTTTGAGGCCAGCCTAGGCTACAAAGTGAGCTCAAGCCCAGCCTAAAGTGCATAGTGAAAACCTGTCTCAGAAAGACAAAAACAAGGAACAAAAGGAAGGAGGCCGCATGTTTAGCTGTGATAACCTCGCTGTGTGCCAGTTTGTCTCTTTGTCCTGAGCACTGCTTTTCAGGCTGCTAAGGCGACAGGAGCTTCTTGTTTGTCAGTGTGTGGTACATGGAACCCTCACAGGTCAGCAGGCAAAAGTGGCTCTGGTGGGGCCGAAGTCCTCCCAGCACCTCATCCACAGACAACCGACTGTGGGTGCTGAAGAGCTTCCCGGTTCCCAGAGCCTGGGAAAAGCCACCGGGGTAGCGACTGCACCCCGATGCCCTGTGCCCTGGGCGGGCAGAGTGTGAGCCTGTGACTCACTCTGGAGGAACTGGGGTAGAGAGGAGCAGGGCGGGGCGGCTGTCTCCCTGGACTGGAATCGTGGGTGGTGGCAGGACTTGAAGGTTCTGGTGGTGACTGGGGCTGTTCTGAGTGACCTGGTCACCGTGTCCTGCCTAGGTCCCATCATGAGTCACCGGGAGTCCACACGCCAGCACGCCAGCAAGGGCACTCCGTCCGGGCCACCTCTGTGATTCCAAAGCGTTTGCCCCAACCCAGGCCCGCAGACTTGCAAGGCGTCAGAAACTCTGGGCGACCTTCGCAGCCCGACACCTTCGGTCCCTCTGAAAGGGGCGGTGGGCAGTCAGGGCACTGGCTGGAAGTGGGGCCTGGGAAGTCTTGATTGGCTGCCGATGACGCCGAGCTTGGAGGAGGGTCCCAGTGCCTGTGAGAGCTGCCGCTGCCTGAGGGCAGGCCAGGCCTTGTTTTCTGATATTACCATGGAAGCTGCTTAGTATTCTGGGATGCCACGGGGCGGCTGGTGAGAGGTGGGTGGTTCTGCCAGCCGGGCGTCCTCCTGTCCCTGTTCTTGCATCATCGGAGAGGAATTCCTCACGGTGCAGTGCGCCCAGGAAGGTGTGCCCCGGGGCTGCCTGTGCCTAGCTGCGTGGAGGTGTTTGGGCTCTGCTGGAGGCAATTACAGCACGGCCAGCAGCTTGGGGTGGAGTTGTTCCGTCAGGACTGTATTTGGGAGCTTCTTCCCGATAAGTCAGGTGCCTGGCACCTTTCCTCTTCCGATCTTCCTCTTCAGGAGGGCTCGGTGCCCGGGTCTGCTTTCCGCAGGTCACAGGTGAGCTGCTGGACCCTCAGCCGCCTCTTCCCTCCAGCAGGCTTGGTGGTGCCGCTGTGAGAGGCACATACGCTGTGCACACGGGGCATCTGAGGGCTGTGTTACAGAGGCGGCAGCGAAACACCAGCCTCCGCCCTTGGGGCCCAAACCCGGGGGCCTGACGTCCGCCTCTCCCTTGTCCCCTGCAGTCGCCCCCTCCCGAGGCCGCCGTCCTGCTTCCTCCTGGGCTGTGCCGTCTGCACCCTCCCGACGCTGCTCCGTGCCTCTCTGTGAGCCTGAGACTCTGTCTCCCCTGCGCCCACCCTGCCTCCCGCTCTGACACTCCTGACTGCAGAGCGCCTGCTTGCGAGGCCTTGCGGGAAGGTGCTCATCCTCAGCCCACAGCCTCCCTGCCCACCGGGCCTCGTCTCTGTGCTACGTTTACAAACCGCAGCCCCAGTGCTTTGTGGCGTATCACCCTAATGTCAGCATTTAAAAGCATGCAGTCTGGATCGTCTCTGTGAGCAGATTCTGCAGAGGTTCTAGGCAGCACCGTGACTCTGAGCGGGATGTGGGCGCGGGAGCGTATGTGTTCCGGCACAGCGTGTGCTGTGGAAGTGTGCCCCGAGCTGGTGACCTCCCACTTGCCGGTCCCCGTCCCTGTCCCTGTGAGAAGCAGGATCTCGTTTTACACCGGTGTCATGTGTTTGGGTCCTCTGGCACTGCTGGGGAGGCTGGGGCAGGGAGGGAGGGAGGAGGGGGAGCCCGTGCCAGTGCCGCACTTCCTGCCTTCTCTGGAGTCTAGGCTCCCCACCCCGGGGCCCCCTCTGCCTTGCTCCCCTTCCCTCCAGACCCAAATACTTGCTCTTTCAGGGTCTGAGCCCTCCTCAGGGCGGTTTATTTTTAGTAGAACCGACCTCCTCACACAGCCTACCTGGGAGAGTGAGCCCCGGGCCCTGGCTGCCCTCACGTGAAATGACAGTGAAGACACAGGGTTAAAGACCACCGTGACGTCTCAGTTATGATAATCAGATGAATGCCGAGACATGGC